ACTAGTACTGCTACTACTACTACTACTACTACTACGACTACTACTACTACTACTACTACTACAAGTATTACTACTACCACTACTACCACTACCACTACTACTACTAATACTACTACTACTACTACTACTACTACTACTACTACTGCTGCTGTTACTACGGCGACTACTACTACTACTACTACTACTGCTACTGCTACTGTTACTGCTATTGCTACTGCTACTGATACACTACTACTACTGCTACTGCTACTGTTACTGCTATTGCTACTGCTACTGATACAACTACTATTAAAGATAATATGTACCATGCTTGAAAATACTGTTCGTATCATTATTACTCCTCCTCCTCCTCCTCCTCCTCCTCCTCCTCCTCCTCTTCCTGCTCCTCCTCCTCCTCCTCAATCACTTCCAACTTCATTCCCTCTCTGCTCTTCCTCCTCCTCCTAATCCTCCCCCGTCCCCCCTTCTCCCACTCCTCCTCTGGGAAGGGAGGCCAGCGAGAGGTGGAGGGGGGAGAGAGTAAAAGGTAGTGGTTGCGAATTGAGGCAGAGATCTGTCCCGACGTGAAGGCGAATGAGCGGAAAGCAGCGTGCCTGACCCGCAATGTATGGCACGCCATTGTGAGAAACCATGCTGGCACCTTCCGGGCCCTCAGCAAGCGGGAGGCGGGAGCAAGCGGCGCAAAAGCATAGCGGAAACGAGCCGCTTTCCTACCGTCCCCCCCTCCACCCTCCCCTTCACCCTCCCCACCCCTCCCCACCCCTCCACTCCACCACTTGCCTCGCACACCCACCCTCCTCAGCCTGAGCTGGAACGAATTGCAAAACTGGATCGGATCGGAACCGGAGCGGACCGCGCCTGAGTCGGCTCGGAGTCGGATCGGGATCAGATCGTCTGGGATCGCGGATCAGACTACCTACCGACCACCCCCCCCACTGGAAATGGACGGCAAATTGAGGCCTTCGGGTTGGGTTGGGGTGGTTTGGTAGGTGGTGAGGATCGGGCTCGCCCCTGCAAGTCTGAGAGGAAATCGGTTCGTCTCAGATCGCATCGGATCGCGATCGGAATCGAGGCTTTGAGTATTGGCGGGGTCGGATCGAATCGGGCCGCAAGCAGCCATGCATTTCCCCCACTTGAACGAAGAATTGCAAAAAACCGAAGGATTGCAAAAAAAACAAGGATTGCAAAAAAAAACCCTTGGTTTTTCTGCAATCCTTGAACGAAGGATTGCAAAAAAAACAAAAGTTTGTTTGCAATCCTTGGTTTTTGTGCAATCCTTCTGTTTTTTTTGCAATCCTTCGCCACGGTGCTCTCCGTCGGAGGAGGTGCCACAATCACACTCGACATTCGCCCGACAGCCATGACCAGCGCAGCCAAGACATCGCGGTTCCACAGCACGAGCTGTTTCGTTCATCGCGCAATTTTGGGAGGAGACCGAGGAGAGCTGAGGGGACGATCGCGACGCAGCACCGTCATGCACCTCAAGCGCGCTATAGCAAAATCGCGGCAAGTTTGGGAAACAACAAGGAACCCCTACCGCTGCTCCCCGGACCACTTCCGGGGTGCGTTCTGACCAGAATTTCGAAGCGAATCCAGCAGTGGCGACGAGGGCCTCCCAGGAGGTCCACAAAGGGAAAAACGGCCAAAGGGTAGCGGTATGGGTGCCTTTCCCTCCTCCGAAGGTTGAAGGACATCATGAAAAATGGCTCGGACGGAATGGCCCAAGCGGCCACCGCGTTCCCGCAGCACGAGGTGCCAAGACGGAGGCAGGATGAGGGTACCCATCGGTCAGCAGAAGTGGGTGGAAGCACGAAGTAGGAAGGCGTCGAGAGCAGATGGGGTCTCCGCCCGCCCCCCGAAGGGGAGGGAAGAGGGGAGGCCACTCGATCACTGAAGTGGGAAGCCGATTGGCGGCGGGGCGCGCCCTGGGCCCTGCACGGTTTCCCCCGGGGCCGTAGGCGACCCGAGGAGGAGGAGGAGGAGGAGGAGGAGGTGGAGGTGGAGGTGGAGGTGGAGGAGGAGGAGGAGGAGGAGGAGGAGGGGGAGGAGGAGGAGGAAGTGGAGGAGGAGCAGATTGGAATCTGGGAATCCCAAGAATGCCTGCGTCCGACGGCCGCTGGGCAGGCCGGGCAGCCCCCGAGCGCGGGCGAGTCCGCGGCATGCCCAAGGGCGCCGCGGCGCGGCCCCGCAGCACCCCGCCGAAGGCAGGGGTGAAGATTCGTCTTAGGTCGGGCATGTCCCCCTGCAGCGGGATTTTTTGGACACCCGAAATGGGCACGGAAAGAATGGGTACAATGCCCAACAACAAATGTTGTCCCAAACCAACAGCGGCCGGTGTTGGGCAGGCGGCCTTCTGTCTCGAATGGACACAGGCCGCGGCGACACCGCCAGCGAGGAACTGCTGTTGGGCATTGTACCCATTCTTTCCGTACCCATGTCGGGCGTCCAGAGTGTTGGACGAAAAATGAAAGATACCCCAAATGTACCCCCAAGTGGCCAA